CTGCTTTTTTGTGTGTTTGTGTGTGTGTGTGTGTGTGTGTGTGTGTGTGCGTGGGACTGCAGTCATGAGCAGACCCAGACTGAGTCTTTGGATAGAATCACAATTAAACAGGGTTCGACGGAAACAAATTTGTCTGCTGGTACCATCTCAAAAGACTGATCAATTTTAATTTCATGTATTTATATATTTTTTTAAGTTTTAGAAATAAAAATTTCTTGACCATTTTTTCCCTTCACATTGTTTTCTTTGCAAAAAGAACGTTTTTAAAATTTTTAATTAAAAATGTTATATTTAATTCATAAAATATATACAGTTCAAAAGGGTTGGTAAGATTTTTTTGAAAGAAGTCTCTTATTCTATGTGATTATATTTTAAGATGTAATCTATTCTTGTGATGCTAAATCTGAATTTTCAGCATCATTACTCCAGTGTTCAGTGTCACATGATTCTTCAGAAATCACTGCTGATCAACATGCTGATTTAGTTTTCTATCATTATTATTATTAATATATATAATAATAATAATAATGTTAAAAACTGGTGTGAAGTTGATTTGATGAATAGAAATTTTTAAATAACAGAATACATTTTTTGTTCTTTTTTTATTTTTATTTACTTTTTTTGTTTGTTTTATTCAGTGACGAGTAGTTCATTCTTTTTAATAAACTAAATTAAACCTGGCATTCTATTCTGCATTTTCATATACATTTTTTCCATAAAAAAATTTTTTTTTTTTTAATCCCTATGGAGAAAACGAATGAGAAAAATACTTGCTGTGCTCCATAACCGCCCCATTTATTCCTCCTCGTGTTTGCTCATGGAGTGTGTGGTGAGGTCTATGGAGATTACTAGTGTTGGGCCATTATCCTACAGGGTCTTTGGTTTGTTTCTAATGCCTGTGCTCTCCCCCCACTTACCACCGCAATTGTGCATTATAGATTAGTTATGGGGTTAATCCATGCCTGCACACAAACATGTCAGAATGAGCTCACTGGGTGTGGATCACCTCAGCGCTACACTCTGGGCTTACGGGAATACTGCCTCTGCTCAGCAGATGTCAGAGGAATTTAATGCTTCCCAAGCATTTACGCTGTTTAGATATGACTCCATTCCTGTGTTTTTAAAGTTCACAGGGGAGATATGGGATGACACATGTTGTGAATCAGTGCATGTGGTTTTCTACATATCTGTGGACTTAATTTGTGCTTTTTATACAATGTATCTAGGAAAAAATCTGCAAAATGGATCATATGGGTCAAAATGGGTCATAATTCTGTCACTTGTTCCAAACCTGTATGAATTTCTTTCAGCTGTTGAACACAAAAGAAGATATTTTGAAGAATGTTGGTAACCAAGCAGTTACCAGTAGCCATTGACTTGCGTAGTATTTTTTTCTATACTATGGAAGTCAATGGCTACCGTCAACTGTTTGGTATTCTACATTGTTCAAAATATCTTCTTTTGTGTTCAACAGCTGAAAGAAACTCATACAGGTTTGGAACTAGTGGTTGGTGAGTTAAATGTTGACAGAATTTTCATTTTTGAGTGAAATATCCCTTTTAAACGTTTTTTTTTTCTGTTTGACACAAAAGAAGATATATTGAAGAATGTTGGTAACCAAACAGTTGTCGGTAGCCATTGACTTCCATAGTATGAAAAAAATACAGTGGCTACCAGTCAGTGGTTATCTACATTCTTCAAAATATCTTCCTTTGACATTTTCTCATGAAGTCCTATATTGTTAAAGTCAACATTCACAACCTGTTTTACTTGCATTAAGTGAAAAACTCCCCTCACCCCCCACCCCCCATTGTAGTTCTGATTTCTCATTTGTGCAGTTTAAATATGGATATATTCAAATTTGGCATGTCACAATGAGACATGAGAACCAGAAATATTTGGCATCATTGACTACAAACCTTGGGTGACTCCTTTAGATTCACCACATGTGTATATATTGTGTATATATATGCAAACGCAAATGAAATTTATGAGCTGTGGCAGTGGATGTTGTTGTTGAATAATGTCTTAATTTCCGTGTTTTCCTCATCCTCATTCTAGCTAAAGTTTGGCTTCAGAAAACTCAAAATATAGTGCTCAAGACTTTCACAAGGATCTTTGTCACTTTTGGAGCTTGCCTTTGCTTAGCAATGGACTGATATGTGAGTAAATGATGACAGAATTCAAATAACCTAATTAATATTCATGACCCAAGCCACACCTGACAGAGTTTGTGTGCTGAGCTACTGATGCTGACAGAAAGTCTAACTTTGTGAACGACCGAAGATGTTTTAGGCCTAATTATTGAACTTTTATGACAAAAAGACCAGGGTTATTGACGTTTTTGGAAAGTTTTTCAGCTTTCAAATGGTATCTGGTATCAAGTTTTGGATCATTCTTGTCATTTTGGCTTTGACTGATTAATTTGACAAAGAAGTGTAATTTACCTGGCATGAAAATCCGGCATGTTCACTAAGCTGAAGGGAGAGATGGAGCTGATTGAGGACAGGGGAAAAAAACAAAGAGGAGAATTTGAAAAAAAGAAAAGCTTGTTTGGAATGAAGTACAGGGATGAGGCAATTGCCGAGTGCTCTGACGTCAATTATGTTCCCTCGGCACATTGCCAGAGGGCTGTGTTTTTACCACACTCAAGTGGGTGTGTGTGTGTGTGTGTGTGTGGGTGTGTGTGTGTGTGAGGGCGGGGCTAGAGCTGTCATTCCCACAGTGATAGGGTTAGACACACCTATCACAGCATGAACTTGAGCCAAGAGGACAGTTTCTTTTGTTCCTGTTGTTCCAAGAATATTATTTAATGCAACTGTAGCTTTGACTCTGTATTTTTTGACACAAGATCTGTGTGTGTTGCAGATGTCTCAAGTCCTTTTCTCATGAAATCCTGTTTTGTTAGCCAACATTCACAACCTGTTTTACTTCCATTAAGTGAAGTAGTTCTAAGTAAAACAGGATATTTATTGTTTTAAAATTGTGTATTAATAAAGTAAATGGGGTCAGTTTTATTTTATGTTGGTTTTAAGGGTTAGCGTTTACTTTTGAAGTACTTAGCTACACTACAAGCTTCTAACAGGTTCATAGGTTGTTGTTTTTTTTCAACTGAATCTAAAGTATTGCACAAAACATGTCAAAACCACCACCAGATCATGTACTTTTTATTTTATATATAATGTTTTTTTTAATGTATTTAATGTATAAAATATATTATTTTATATGTTTTTTTTATATAATAATAAATAACAATGTTTATTTTTATATAATAATATATTTTTTAAGTATTTTTTAATTTATTATTTATTTTATAAGTTTCGGTTGGTGTGATTTTGTAATGGTTTGAAGGCTCTTCTGCTCACCAAGGCTGAATTTATTTGAACACGAATGCAGTAAAAACAGGCATTACAAATTAAAATAACTGGTTTCTATTTTAATATGTTTTAAAATGAAATTTATTCCTGTGATGCAAAGCTGAATTAATAATTAATAATATTAATAATTGGTAGTGTGTTTTTTCGTTGTTGTTTTTTTCAGTGGACATCTGCTTAATCAGATGAGTTGATGGTGATTTTGACATGTGTTTCTCTCAGATGATGGCTAAGCCGAACGAGCCGGGCCGACAGCACGAGAGCCACCCGGAGGAGACGGAAGAGGAGCTGAGGGAGCACCAGGGCCTGGGCGACTCCACGGAGGCTCTTCCTCATGGGGTCACCATCAAACAGGAACCGCCGGATGAACAGGATGAAGAGTTCCAGCAGAGAGAGAGGCAAGCCGAGGAAGAGCTGCTCTTCAGACAGGTAAGGGTGTTAGAGCAGAAAACAGCTGCAGGAATACATGATACTACATCTGTCGCTGTTTTGTGAATGGCTCAAGATGAAGCCACAACCACATTGAGCACCAGAAGGGGGCAGCAACAGGCTCCTGTAAGGAATCAGACACCCTGTTGGTGAAAAAGGGGTTATTAACCCACAAGAAGGATCTGTCCCAACACGATGCTAGGTATTTCTAGCACTTACTCAGCTGGAGGCATGCATTCATTTTACTTAAAGCTGCCAAAAAGCAATAATGGTGGTTTATGTATAAAAAAAAAATAGAGCAGTTATACTAGCTAACATGCTGGTTTCATTGGAATTGATTTAATTTAATCCAGAAGTATTGCACAAACAAATAAATATTTCCAAAACTGCAGCTCTTGTTTTATTCTATATAGCAATAAATGAATTAATAATCAATTTACATAACATTTTTATTTTAATTTACACTTCTGAAAAACTACACTACCATTCAGAAGTTTGGGGGCAGTAAGATTTTGTCATGTTTTTGAAAGAATGGATTTATTGGATCAAAAATGCATTAGAAAAAGTAATAGTGTGAAATATTGTTACAATTTAACAATTGTTTTCTATTTGAATATATTTTAAAATGTAATTTATTCCTGTGAAGACAGAGCTAATAAATGCAGTCTTTTATTTGCGTGAAATGCCCAGTATGAGATTATTCATGCAATCCCTGAAAAATCAGTCTATTTGCTCACCATTCAGAACTGTTTAATGCAACCACAGGTCCTCAACGCTTAATCGCTGCTTTTTTAAAAATGAACAGGATGGTGGGCAGATCATTTAGGTCCAGCTCTTTTTCTTCTTAATGGGCAGCAAGGGGTTTGAAACCCTCTGCATGTTCCTGCAGTCAGACTGAAATATTCATCAGCTAACTAACACTGTGTCCAAAACTGAAGGTAGCTGCCAATTAACAGGCAGTGTTTATGAATGAAGGAACCTCCAAAGGCTACAGACCAGCTTCCAAGGCACCATAACATCACTTCTAAAGATCAAGGATAAATCAAGTCCGCTTTAGACATAACCAAGTAAATATTTAATGGCTACAATGCTTGTTTCTTAGTGGAAATTCAAATGTACACTACTGTTCAATAGCTTCAGAAGCTTTTTTTTTTTGTTCAACAGCTTTTTGAAAATTCAACTTAGCGTCACAGGAATAAATTACATTTTAAAATATATACCAATGGAAAACAGGTATTTTAACTTGTAATATTATTTAACAATATTACTGTTTGTTTTTTTACTGTATTATAAATGCAGCCATTGTGAGAATAAGAGACTTCTTTCAAAAACATTAAATCTTAATGATGCCAAACTTTTAGTGTTAATTTTTTTAATGCATATTTAATGAATTAATTTACATTTTCCAAACCAGATGCAATTTTTAATCTTTCAAATAACCACCTTAACAATATGTGACCCTGGAGCACAAAACCAGTCTTAAGCCGCTGAGGTATATTTGTAGCAATAGCCAAAAATACATTGTATGGGTCAAAATGTATTTTGTATTGTTACATTTTCAATCATCAAAATGTATTGATGATTGAAATACATCAATGAGAGGTGGTGTACAGATGTAACTGTGTTAAAGAAGATGTGCTGTCCAGATCTAGAAGTGCTCTTCATTAATTGCAAGCCGTTCTATTCGCCGCGGGAGTTTTGCTCGTTCATTCTCGTCAGCGTGTACATTCCTCCGCAAGCACACGTGAGCACCGCTCTACAGAAACTCGCTGATCTGATCACAGACACAGAACAACAACACCCGGACTCTGTTTTAATCATTCTCGGGGACTTTAATAAAGCAAATCTCTCCCGTGAACTGCCAAAATACAGACAGCACATCACATGTCCCACCAGAGACAGTAATATATTGGATCACTGTTACACCACAATAAAGAATGCATATCACTCTGTTCCACAGGCAGCTTTGGGGCTCTCTGACCACTGTTTGGTTCATCTTATACCGACCTACAGGCAGAAACTGAAATCAGCTAAACCTATATTAAGGACTGTAAAAAGATGGACTAATGAAGCAGAGCAGGATTTACAAGATTGTTTTGACCTCACTGATTGGAGCGTCTTTGAAGCTGCTGCCACCGATCTGGACGAGCTCACAGAGACTGTAACATCTTATATCAGTTTCTGTGAAGACATGTGCATTCCTACCAGGACTCATTTAACTTACAACAATGACAAACCATGGTTCACTGCAAAACTCAGACAGCTCCGTCAGGCCAAAGAAGATGCTCACAGGAAGGGGAATAATGTCTTGTATAAACAGGCTAAATACACACTGGAAAAGGAGATCAGAGTGGCAAAGAGGAATTATTCTGAAAAAATAAGGATTCAATTCTCTTCCAGTGACTCAGCATCAGTGTGGAAAAGTCTGAAAGAAATCACCAACTACAAGACACCATCCCCCAGCACTGTGGAGAATCAACAACTGGCAGACGATCTAAACGAGTTCTACTGCAGGTTTGAAAAAACACCCCACACCCGCCCTGAACACCTCTCCACACAACCATTCACACCTCCAGCAACCCCCCTCTCCCCCACACCGGCAATTCAGATCAGTGAAGACGAGGTGCGCCAGGTCTTCCGGAAGCAGAAAAGGAAAAAAGCACCAGGCCCAGACTGTGTTACACCAGTCTGTCTGAAATCCTGTGCTGACCAGCTGGCCCCCATCTTCACACAGATCTTCAACAGATCACTGGAGCTGTGCGAAGTCCCTTCATGCTTCAAACGCTCCACCATCATCCCCGTCCCAAAGAAACCCAAAATTACGGGACTTAATGACTACAGACCTGTGGCTCTAACGTCTGTGGTCATGAAGTCTTTTGAAAAACTGGTGCTGGCCCACCTGAAGGACATCACTGGACCCTTGCTGGATCCTCTTCAGTTTGCCTACAGAGCAAACAGGTCTGTGGACGATGCAGTAAACATGGGACTGCATTAGGTTCTGCAACATCTGGACAGACCAGGGACTTATGTGAGGATCCTGTTCGTGGACTTCAGCTCGGCCTTTAACACCATCATCCCAAACCTCCTCCTGCCCAAACTAACTCAGCTCTCCGTGCCCACCTCCGTCTGTCAGTGGATCAACAGCTTCCTGACAGACAGGCAGCAGCTAGTGAGGCTGGGAAAATACACATCCAGCACCCGTATAACCAGCACTGGAGCTCCTCAGGGTTGTGTTCTCTCCCCACTGCTCTTCTCCCTCTACACCAACGACTGCACGTCTAAAGACCCCTCTGTCAAGCTCCTGAAGTTTGCAGACGACACCACACTCATCGGCCTCATTCAGGACGGTGACGAGTCTGCTTACAGACAGGAGGTCGAGCAGCTGGCTGTCTGGTGCAGTCTCAACAACTTGGAGCTCAACACGCTCAAAACTGTGGAGATGATCATGGACTTCAGGAGAAACCCCCCTGCACTCCCCCCACTCACCATCATGGACAGCACTGTGACTGCAGTGGAGTCATTCAGGTTCCTGGGCACCACAATCTCTCAGGACCTGAAGTGGGACACTCACATAGACTCCATTGTTAAAAAGGCCCAGCAGAGGTTGTACTTCCTTCGCCAGCTGAGGAAGTTCAACCTGCCACAGGAGCTGCTGAAACAGTTCTACTCCACCATCATAGAATCCATCCTCTGCACTTCAATAACTGTCTGGTTCAGCTCAGCTACCAAATCTGACCTCAGAAGACTACAGAGGGTAGTCCGGACTGCTGAGCGAATCATTGGTACAACCCTCCCTTCTCTCCAAGAACTGTACTCATCCAGAGTGAGCAAAAGGGCTGGCAAAATCACTCTGGACCCCTCACATCCAGCACACTCCCTCTTTGAACTGTTGCCATCTGGTCGACGCTACAGAGCACTGAGCACCAGAACGACCAGACACAGGAACAGTTTCTTCCCTCAGGCAATCCATCTCATGAACACTTAACAATAACTGTGGAACACACACTATTTATTCACTCATACACTTATTTATCTAACACACATACTCAGACTACACCTCAAATTTGCACATAATATACAGTACCTGTACATACAAAAACTGTCTATTGTAATATACCTGCACATACAACTGTCAATTTATATATTTTTATTCCTTATTTACTTGTTCTATTTTTTATTATCTGTGTTTTTTGTTCTGTCACTGTCATTCTGTTACACTGTGGAAGCTTCTGTCACGAAAACAAATTCCTCGTATGTGTAAACATACCTGGCAATAAAGCTCATTCTGATTCTGATTCTGATTCTGATGTGGGAGTGTGTGTGTGTGTGTGTTCATACACATGGGATGGCAGTGAATGTGTCAGGAATCAAGGGTTAATTCCAGCCTCAGGTTCAGTAAGTGTTTTGACGTATCTAGGCTAACACTAATGGCTCCTGCGTGCTTTCAGAGCTGACGTGCTTTGGTGCCTTCAGACCTTCATAAACTGCTTTAGAAGGCTTATTTTCCAGGTTTTACACAGCCTAAATGTAGTCTTGAGTAGCTGAACGCAAGTGTAGATCAGAGCACTCTTACCTTAATGAGCACAAGAAGTGAAGCATTTTCTACATATAACACTTTCTGGTGTTTTGCAGTGTATTGAGTACCACCTGCTGGTTATTTGTGTAACTACAGGGTGCCTAAAAACAATTGAGGTTCTTCTGTAGGACTTATGAAATGTCCTTATAAAGATATGTATCTGTTTGTTTGTTTGTTTTTTAAATTGACTTGCAAAGTTCATTTATTTCAAGCTAAACGTCTGTTCTTGTCTCTGAGCAGCAAGCTGTCCTGTTGGAGCAACAGAGGATCCATCAGCTGAGGAACTATCAGGCGTCTGTCTTAATTTACATTTTCCAAACCAGATGCAATTTTTAATCTTTCAAATAACCACCTTAACAATATGTGACCCTGGAGCACAAAACCAGTCTTAAGCCGCTGAGGTATATTTGTAGCAATAGCCAAAAATACATTGTATGGGTCAAAATGTATTTTGTATTGTTACATTTTCAATCATCAAAATGTATTGATGATTGAAATACATCAATGAGAGGTGGTGTACAGATGTAACTGTGTTAAAGAAGATGTGCTGTCCAGATCTAGAAGTGCTCTTCATTAATTGCAAGCCGTTCTATTCGCCGCGGGAGTTTTGCTCGTTCACTCTGAGCAGCAAGCTGTCCTGTTGGAGCAACAGAGGATCCATCAGCTGAGGAACTATCAGGCGTCTATGGAGGCGGCCGGACTGTCTGTGACTTTCCCAGGCCATCGGCCCCTGTCCAGAGCACAATCGTCCCCGGCCTCTGCGACCTTTCCCATTGTGGTGCAGGAACCACCGGCCAAACCACGCTTTACCACCGGTCAGTCACTGGATTAGATGTTCAATATTGTTCACCAACTAAACAACTAAGCATCTGGATATTACCTCAGAAATATTGAAATGAATTTATATTAATTTGTAGACCTCATTAAATAAGTATTTGTGTCCCTACAGGTCTGGTGTATGACTCCTTGATGCAGAAACACCAGTGCATGTGTGGAAACAGTAACATCCACCCCGAGCATGCCGGACGCATCCAGAGCATCTGGTCACGACTGCAGGAGACGGGGCTGCGCGGCCAGTGTGAGGTGACGTTCACTCACGTCTCTCTGTTTATGACATATCAGCACTTTTAGCAGTGACACGATGTGATCTTTCAGCACCGAACATATTTAAGTGGTATTTATCTTCAGCCTGCTGGTTACTGTGGCAAGGTGAAGGATATTTTTAGGATCTGTAGAGGGCGCTGTTCAGTCATCACAAACACAGCCGCACATTCCTGTTAATGAAACTTTATGAATAAACCAGAGTTTTACTCAACAGAAAAGGGGGTGTGAGATTGTTTTGAGTGTGTTCGAGGAAAAATTGAACCAGGAGAGAAAAAGAGGCAAGAGCAGAGGAAGTGCTGGTGAATTACATCAGGGATCCGAAGTCTGAGACCACTAGGGAAACTGCTTATCTTTTCACATTTTCACAAGTTTTTCATTACAAATTGTGAAGAGAAAAAAAAATCATAATGTCTTAGTATTTGGTTTGTCCCACTTTTCCTCTAATGGCAGTAGCAATTAAGCTACATGAACACCACAGGTTCGTTCAAAACCTGTTGCTCATGTTCTCCAGCATAATCTGAAAATGATCCAAGGAGCATCTTGTGCTTCAATGGAAGCAGCAGCATCTGACTTTTGTACAGAAGAGTAACATGACCAATTTTAATCATATTAATTATCTAAAAAATAGTGTTAGTTTAGGGTCAGTAAGATTTTTTAAATGTTTTGGGTTCTCTTATACACACTGCATTTATTTGATCAGAAATGTGAAATATTGTGAAATATTATTACAATTTAAAATAAGTGTTTCCAATTTTAATATATTTTAAAATGTCATTTATTCTTGTGCTGAATATTTTAGCATCATTACTCCAGTCTTCGGTGTCACATGATCTTTCAGAAATCCTGATTTGCTGCTCAAGAGTTTGAAAAAAAAAAAGAAAAAAAGTTGAAAACAGTTTTTCAACAATTTTTGTGGAAACCAAAAAGAACAGCATGTATTGGAAAATGAATTTTTTTTTGGAAACATAAATGTCTTTAGTATCCCTTTTGATCAATTTAATGCATCATTGCTGAATAAAAGTATTAGTTTCTTTAAAAAAAAAAATACTGACCCCAGAATTTTGAACATTTCTTTTTAATGTAATACTAAATGTTTAAAAATCCTTCAATTTAGTTTATTTACAAGTTGAAATGAAACAAATCCCAGATTTTTGCTTGCAGACTACAACCTGCACGAAACTCCTCACAAAAGCGCCACAGAATTCATATCTGTGTGTGCATAAATATATATGTGCTTTAAGCTATAATTAACATTATTTTATTCCATTTACCACATTTTACAATGCTTAAATCTGTTTTCCCCCAAAATCAGTGCAGAAAAGCAGTCTGTGCCTGCTTATCTCTGCCTCCACCTGCTGAGGGCAATTCCTGAGCTCTCTCATCATCTGGAGCTCTGATCGCTGGTGCCTAATGGCTCTCGCTGGATCTAATCTCTCCTGCCACGCTGGCTCCATTGCGTCAGGCCTGTTCGAGTAGGTCGCATAGCTGCAGTCTCTGTTTTCCTCCAAACAAACAAGTAAACAAGCATGACAATGGCACGGCTGCGCACCCGCTCTCTCGCCTACATTCGCTCCTTGATGGGGATGTTTATTGTTCTGGGAGATGGAAACAGGGAATTGGGCCTCAATTAAAGGCAGTCATGACTCTAATACCCCCTAATCTACAGCAGGGGGGCCCTTAAAGAGTGTAGGGTTGTTTTAAGCTGCCGCCAGCCAGCACAGGGCCCCGCGGGCCCCTCTTTAACTGCCCTGCTGTTAAATCCGAGAGGTAGTACGTCCTGTTGCAGGTGTCACCTCGGCTCGGCCCAGAGCGCTTCCACAGGTGGGCAGGTCCGCCTCCCTCTTGGATGGTTTGTGCCTCAGAGGCCAGAGCTATTAAAAAGGGAAAATGACATTATTGCAAATCCAGCAGCTCCGGCACCTCCGAGGGCCGACGGCTTTGTTCTACAGGCATGTGGGGCCCAGTTTGGAGTGGGAGGTGGACAGCGGGTCTGTTTCAGCTCTGCTTAGACAGCTAAAGACGTCAGAGGGGGCAGGATGGCAGTATATTTAATATGGCTGTCGATTTTTCAATCAATGAAGTATGTCTTGCCAAAACATTCCAGTCAACAAACTAAAAACATGTGATATAAAAAATTAGACATGACCTAGACCAGGGGTGTCCATTCATTTTTCTGGAGAGCCAATGTCCTGCTGAGTTTAGCTCCAACCAACTCCAACACACTTGTCTGGAAGTTTCTAGAGAGTCTGAAGACCTTGATTAGCTGGTTCAGGTGTGTTTAATTAGGGTTGGAGCTAAAATCTGCAGGGCAGGATTTTTATTTATTTAGTTATTGTTTTATTTATTTATTTATTTTACATACACTCATTCAGCGGATGTTCAGGAAGACTATTTTTGTACATATATATCTTCTTGTATATTTGTCCATTTGTAACCTATTTAAATGTGTTAAAAATGTTAAAATTAGAATTTTGAGACTCTGAAAAAGTAAACTGTAGCTTAAACAGTACAACATGACTCTGGCAACGGCAAAGTCATGGGTTCCATTCCCAGGAAACAGGAAATGCATGAATTGCACTCTGTGAGGTTTGCACCAAAGCGAATGCACCATTTTTTTTTCAATTAATACTTCTATTCAGAAAATTGCATAATTGTTTTAATAAATTGTAAAAAAAAAAAAAAAAATTCACAATATTTCTGTTTTTCTTGAACTTTTGATCAAATAAATGCAGCCTTGGTGGGCATGAGAGACTCATAAACATTTTTTAAAATCTTACCGGCATGAGTTCATGGTTAAGAACATGGAATATACACAAAATGTTTCTATCACCGTGTCCTAACTACACGCGACGCGCCGCGACACGCGATAAAAGGTATCTTTTCCATGTTAATCTGAGTTTTTGTCCTAACTAGCCTCGACAGCGACACGCGAAATTTCTAATTTAGAAACGGTTTCTATTTCCGAGACGTCGCGGCTGGAACAACAACATACAAACTATATAACAGTAGATAATCTCAGGTGATTATGTGCTTTATTCAAAGTTAAACGTGTCTGAGTTTAAATTTAATTTTGTGTGACCTTATAGCCATACTGAAAGCAACAACAGTTTACCTCAGATCTTGAAAATAAATTAAAGGGGTCATATGATGCGATTTCAAGTTTTCCTTTCTCTTTGGAGTGTTACAAGCTCTTGGTGCATAAAGAAGATCTGTAAAGTTGCAAAGACTAAAGTCTCAAATCCAAAGAGATATTCGATGTCCATTAAAACGGTGAACTAACTGCGAACCAACAAGTGTATTACATAACAAAGATGTTATCAGTCACTCAATATGTACATTTAATAATGATAAAAAGTTTTAATATTTATGAATTATAAAGATTATAAACCTATCCATTTCGTTGCGAGTGCAGTGCGCTTCCAGAGAGAGCCCGCCCACACACACTTCTGATTGGCTGTGATATTTGATTGATTGTCGCGTCGTGTCTGGTGTGGACACCCAAATTGCTTGTCTCTGGAATCTTGTCGCGTCGCATGTAGTTAGGACACGGTGTATTTCAGTGAGCAATAATTGTAACAAAATGCCATTTAAAGTCTCAAAATTAAAAGTACATTTCAGCAGATTAATATGAGTCTGTTGCTACGGACTGAAACCCACAGACTCCCCTCTATCCATGTCAAATTGAATATTGCCTCTTTTCTTACTGAGGTTTTAACTCTTTCTTTTTTTTTCCCCAGTGTATTCGAGGCAGGAAAGCCACTCTGGAGGAGCTCCAGACAGTCCACTCTGAGGCTCATGTACTGCTTTACGGAACGAACCCTCTCAGACAGAAACTGGACAGTAAGAACAAACACACACACGCCTGACTACACCATGGACTGAATCTAAGTTATGTAAATGAGCGCATTGTTGTACAGTATTTCTCTCTCTTTGTGACAGTTGAAGCCTCCGATGGTCTTCTCAGTTATTAGCCCATGAAGCTTCGCCTGGACTTCTGCAATTATCCACATTATTTACGCTTCTGCAGCCAGATCCCCTTACAGCCTGTTTCCTAAACGCTGCAATTCGTTTCATTTCTTTTTTTGGCCAGTTGTTGTTCCCTCCCCATCCCAAACTCCCTGGCGTTCCCCTCTGTCAGCCCACTCTCTGCTTTCATCAGTCATGGCCTTGATCTGAGTTTGCCCCTGAGCTGTCCGTCAAGGCCGTCACCTCTCTGCCAATAACAACCACACATGCAGTTTTCCATGACTTCAGCTCCGGCCCCCTCATGCAGCGATCAAACACATGCATAAACGACATGCCCACTCACACACACACATGCACACGCACGGATAGTTCACACTCGTCGGGTACATGGACGATATGTTTCCACCTTTCCAATCTGATTGGGTCGGTTTATTCAACAGACTTTTTTGATCTTGCAACAATGTGTTGCTTCATAAGCACGATTGATTTGAAAAATAGGGCAATTTTAATCAATAGATGCTTTGCCTCATTGAGAAATGTTGGATTATTGCATGTGTGTTTGTGCACTAATATAGTAGGGATGGTCATTGTGGTCATTTTGTTGAGTATTCAGGGTTGGTGGTCCATCTGTGCTGATTTTTAATTGTTTGTCTATTTACATATGCATCATATTGACGTCTTTTGCCATTGCATTACATCTCAGCTTTTTTAGTGTACTGATGACATTTACTTGCACACCATATTTTAAAGGCACTATGTTTATGTGAAGTTATTTTAAGTTACGGCCACAGTAGCACAAAAGCATATAAGCATGCAAACAAGACTGTGTGCTTGAAATGCATTGAACAAGCATTCATATTTGGACATGTGTACAATGGCAGTGCAATTACAGTATATCAATCTTTTTGTGCAGCAGAGGAATCCCCGATATAAAATTTGGTTTAAAGAATTTTGAATTTAATAAAATTAATTCTTGCTTCAAGTGAGTCCATAATTCAGTAACTGATGGGATCGATGGATTTAATGAGTTCATGTTGTGAAATATTTTGTTAGACTGATTCAAACCGATAATTGAGTTTGTGAGTCTTATTGATCGATGAAAAGAACTGGTTCATAAGAGTCATTGGTTCATGAATCAGACTTTAATGGTTGCACTTTTTGGTTTACTAAAAATTTGTTGCTAAAATCATGTGTTTGTTAATCAAACTACATTGATTTCATTATATGTTTTGGATTCACTAAAAAGAACCAACTCATAAGAGTCATTAGTTTGTGAATCAAAATACACCGTTTACATTGTATGTTTTTGATTTACTAAAAAGAGCCAGCTCATAAGAATCATTGGTTCGTAAATCAGATGACATGAGTTGCACTATATGTTTTTGATTCACTTGAAAGAATTGGCTCATACGAGTCATTTGTTTGTGAATCAGATAACACGGGCTGCGCTATATGTTTTTAAAATTACTTAAAGCAGTCGCGCATAAATCTTAAATCAAATGACACTGGTTGCACTATATGTTTTTGATAGTGCAGTCAGTAAACGAAAAATAAAAAATACATATTGTCTTAACATCATTTTGCCAAATTGTTGCCTTATCAGACTGCAAAAAAAGTAGTTATTTCAGCATGGCGCTTCATATTCATGTCCTCCACTGAAAAGTGGTGCAAAAACACTTCTAGCCTAAAGTATATTTCTGGCCTGACATGTAACAGATATGACTCATCTCTTGATATTCACATGCAGAATACAATTAGATCAGTGATGTTGCAGATCTCACACAATCTTTGTCTTTCTCTCAACAGGCTCGGTGACACCTATGTTCGTGAGACTGCCGTGCGGAGGAATCGGGGTGAGTTTCTCTTTCTTTCCCATGTGTAAATAATGGTTCTGTTTGTTCTCCCTCCCCCGAACTCTAGCGGCAACAAAAACTGTTGCTCTCCTCTCTGCTGAGCGGGTAATTGTGTCCAGATGTTTTCTATAAACAAGCTGTGTGCGGTGTGTCTGTGTGTGTGTGTGTATTCTCTAATGATGATGAATGAATGGATAGACTTGTTCTTCAGTGCTGAGTGGACAGTGTCAGCCACACTCTTCACGGCTCTGGAACAGGAAGTACTCATCCTCACTTCTCTCATTCTACTCATGCCCTCCTCTCCTGCTGTAGGTGAATGATTCAGACAGACCGTGAATGGTTTCCTGTAATGAATGGAGAAATGGTTCAGTCATTCATGTGGAAGCATACAGAGTAGCCTCGCTGTTGTGTTGTCGTTGATATATCCATGCGTCAAAGGAAAGTTATTCCTTTTTCCAGGGCTTGGCCTGTTGCAACTATTGGACCTAATCTTGACTTTTTGGGATAATGTGATCATTCTTTTTACATTGCATTTTTGCATTTACGTTTATGCATTTGTCAGATGCCTTTATGCAAAGGGACTTACATTGAATATCTGTTTTGAACCAATGACCTTACCATACCATATTGTTTGAGCTACATGCAGGCTATATTACATTTTCCCATCAAAATAAGGAAATGTTAAAGGGGTCATAGGATGCCCATTTTCCACAAGTTGATATGATTCTTTAGGGTCTTAATGAAAAGTCTGTAACATAGTTTGGTTAAAATTTCTCAATGGTAGTGTAAAAAACACCTTTTTTACCCTGTCAAAGGGGAGGGACCTGTCTGTGTGACGTCATCTGAGATCGGCTCAATTTGAGAAAGGGGAAAACATTTAACCAGATAAAAAAAAAAACACTAGGTGGATTTTTATCATTATAGGGTGGTTGTGTACACACACTGCCAACACACATTTCAGTTCAAACAACTTGTAAATGTGCATGTAGCATCCTATGACCCCTTTAAGATAATATAGAAACACTGAACTATTTCAAATAATTTTGTTCCGATACAAATTTAATGAAGCAAAATGTCATTGAAGAGGAAGCACATATTGGCTCAAATGACTCGGACCATATTTAAAAGGACCACTTTATTTGCTTGCCTGCAACACCTGAAAATGGCAAAAATTAGACCAAATTTGCTGAGAAAATTCAAAATAACTGACTTCCTGTTGGGTTTCGGAATTTGCTCCAAGACACTTTTTTTGTAGGTTTTGGTTATGTGTTACATGCTTACAAATTTCGTTTATGTATCTGAAACATAGCTCGAGGGGCACTTTGTTGAATGTGTATTGGTGGCGCTATTGAGCCATTTTACCGCACCTAATTCTGACGTGAATTTTCGCCAGAAGGGTGCGCCCGCAGCAATGCAACGCTGTTTGATAACCAGCCACCAGCAGAAGAACAGCGAATGCCATGAGTTGTGCACTTGAAAACAAAGCCCACTAGACAGTGACCATGTGCTGATTCTGAATGCGTCTCTCACAGACTGACAAAGGAGTATACTTTAAAGGCTTGTGCACTCAACTGTTTGCGAAATGGAGCTTTGTGCTCGTGTATCCTACCTCTCTCATTCGGCACAAATCCAAATATTCCATAATATTTCCATATTTGCGATGTAACGTATCTGAATGCTAAACTATTATTTATTATGTAAATTATAGGCTTTGTACTTCAGTCGCGTTCCAACGGTGACACAGAGGCGGGCGCGCTGATGTTTGGTTCACTGTATTTTATTTTGATAAAGTACCAACTGTGCTGTCAAGTTAGCAATGCTGGAACTGATGTGTTTTGTGTGTGCGTGCGTGCGTGTCACTTCAACTGTTTCCTTATACCAGCAGAATCAACTTTTAAACACTTATTGTCTTATTAATAATTCATCACTGTATAAAGGTCTGCTTTCATTTGTGTACACTCACAATGAAAACAAAACATTGTGCTTTTGTAAAATAAAGAAAACAAATAGGATGTCGTTTTCTTCCATTTGAGTTTCCTTTCTGTGAACAAATTAAGCCTGTCACAAAAATGAACTGAAACTCAGCATACAGTATATAGGCTACGTTGCGTGTCGCACTGTTTTTTTCCCTTGTATTTCTGTAAACTAAATCAAGTATATTTGAAGAATTTATTCCTAGTATGTATATATGTCTGCAGATTTTATATATATAACATAATGTAATAATATTTAGTATTTTCACATCTAGGTGGAAAAAATTGTAATTTGTACTACTGTCTGTTCAAAATAAATGAAAAGAAACCGAGCCTAGTAGATTTTTTTTTTTCTTTTCCCTGTTGTACCGAAATCATATCGAACCATGACCCCCAAACCGAGGTACATACCGAACCGTGACATCTGTGTACCGTTCCACCCCTATTGTGTATGTATATAAAACAATATTTATGTTTTCGTGAACAACTTTTACTCTAATATATTGTTTAGATGAACTGGGATCCAACCTCTCATACTTTGACAGTTTACACAAATAATGTAATTATCTGTCTTTCTATTAATACCCAGACAAGTTTCATAATTGTGATAGATTTATTTGATGCTTCCAGACGCAGTGAGGTGGATTTGGTTTTGAAGGTGAATTTGTGTGTGCGTGTGCGTGTGTGTGTGTGTGTGTGTATTAGTTCAATGGTGTGACCTCAGGCAGGGCTGTTGGAGGGGGACTGATAAATGGCAGGTGGTCCCGTCTGGCTGAAGTCACAGTCTTTGAGCTGAATGGTGAGAAACAGAAGGGCTCTGGACTCTTTTATGGAAATGGAACAAAATTGTTGTCTTCCTGCATCTTTACAGCGAAAATTAGCCTGTCAGGGTGAAGATAAACTGTGCTTGTTCATTCCAACACGCTCCCCAGCCCTGCCTGAAACCTGCGCCCCCAAACTTCAGTGTCTACATCCCTCTTTACTTTCTACTGCTTTTACACCATGGGCCGCGCTTTTGGGGCTGAAGCCCTGGTGTCTTGATGTCTTTTGCCAAGGTTTTTTATTTTATTTTTTTATTTTTTAATACATATACTGTTAAATATGCACAAAGTTTAGTGTAGTTTACTAAAACCATAAATCAAGTTTTTATTATTTGAAATAAAATAAATGTTCACTGAAATAAAATAAAAAAAGAACTTAAACTTATTTTATTTCAGCTAGTTGCCAAGACAGCATTTCTTATTTTTATTTAGCTTAAATTAATAAATGAATAAAGAACTATATAAACATCAAAAAAACTAATAAAAACAACAAATTTACTAAAACTTTAACTAAAATTAACATGAAAACAGAAAATACAAATATATAGATATATATATTATTATTTTTTTTTTAATTTTTTTTTTTTTATAAATATTAACAAAAACTATAGTAGTATCTCAATGAAACTAAAATAACACTGATATGCACTAAAGCGTAGTGGTTTTAATTTTAACACCAATAATATTGAAATATTTTTAGTTTTTTTTTGTTTGAGTTATTTATTTTCATTATTATTTATTTGAAAGTGTTTTATAAAAATTCTGTTCCAAAACGTAGTGAGCTGCCTATGTGAGCAGTATTTTAAGGCATCATAGTTGCACTCCAGACTTAAAATATGCCAGAATGTCTATATCTCATCTTTTTTTGCTCTCTCTTTCTTTTATTTCTACATTAAATTCCTTCATCATGCACTCTTGCTCTCTTTCATTGGCGCACTCGCTCTCATTTCCCTAGCTTTTCTCTCTCTCTGTTCCCCGATTCATTTTTTTCTGTTTTAAATGCACCACAGGCTCATAATTCATGACAAAGTCATTCTTGGCGGATCTTGAAAAGACCAGAGTTTTTTTACGTTGCCCTTGAGCACTTATGCCATTGATAAGCTGAATTCATAAATGGAAGGAGGATATGTATTCTGAGAGGGAGACCCAGGGTTGGTAAACCCCTTCGGAGTGCTTCAGAGGTTCTCCAGATTTCTCACTTCCCTCTCGCCATCTTTCTTGTTGCCGGCTTGTTGTTTCATTACGTGCTTATTTCGCCCGCCTCCCCTCCTCATGCTGTTGCAGAGACAGACTTTCCTCATATTCCTTCCTCAAAGATGTTTCCAGCACTTTAACAGAAATGAGTTCAATGGTTGTACGTGGTTTATTGGAAAACCGTGCTGTAAATAGAGCGTGCTGATTTTGTGGATGAGAAAGACGTTTTATTGGCAGTCAGTTGATGGATATTGGATGTTCAAGAGAAGACTTTTTGTAATTGACAGTTTTCACCATTTTAAACACCCTGCTTTCACTAGTTCAAATATAATATATGGGTACATTTTTTAACTATCAAATATTTGTAAATATAAAAAAAAATTATATTGCAAACTTTGCCTGTTTTTTCAGTTTGATGCACAGAACTACAGAATTCCCCCCTTTTAAAATAAATAAATAAACTTAAAAATATATATTTAATTGTTTTTATTTATTTTAAACTGCAGTATTATATATTATATTAATTTATTATTATAAAATAATTAGTGCTGTCAAACAATTAATCGTGATTAGTTAGTTTTTGTTTACATAATATATGTGTGTGTACTGTGTATATTTATTATGTATGTATAAATACACACTCACACAGTATATATTTTGAAAATATTTACATGTTTTACATGTATATATTTATACTCATATAATTTATATTATATATAAATATATTTAATCTATAAACATACAATTTTTTATTAAATATATACATACATGCATG